TGTGTTGAGGGGGAAGGAGGGAAAAATGAGTTTGTTGCTAATTTGACAAATAATATGCAACGTGTCACAGCCTCACATTGCACTTTGGCTTCTTTTAATTGACAGGGATGCTGACATTCACCAAAGCACAAACTCCCAAAAACTGTTTCCACACAACAGTGTAGAAAACTTTTTCTTTACAGATTTTTTTTTCTTTTCTTTTTTTTTTTTTTTGCCGTGAATATGTTTCCTGGACAATTCAGATTTGCTTAAACAAAGAAGAAACTTAACTTTTGGATATTTATAGAATCTATTTCTGTAGAGTTCAGCTGGTGAGAGCTAACTGCTCCTTTTTGCTACTGTTTTGTTATTTAAAGCTATTGATTATGTGGCAAAATAAAATTCGCCTTTTAGATGCTAATTCTTTGTAACATTTTGGTTGCGGTTGAGCTACCTATGCTAACTGCTAGGTAGTTTAGACTTAGCTCTTTAATTTAAGTTAAATTAATTCCAGGCTGCCTTCATTTTTATTGTCATTTATTATAAACATATCAAGGTTATCTACTGTACGCTTTTCTAAAGTTTTGGAGGTATTTTTCTTTTTGTAGTTTTGTAATATGCAGTATACTTTAGCTAGATCTCGGCTAACACCCTTTATGCTAATGTGGGCCATTCGGTTACACAAACTGTTTGGTATTTCTCTTTTTAAAACTCAAACTTTTTGCTGTTTTTATCTAAAGTTTTTTATTTTTTATTTTAACAACAGTTTTGTGGGATTTCGGTTTGGATTTAGCTTTTTATTAGCAAACTGTTCTGCCTCTGCAACAATACTACATGGTTGGTGCTGTTGTAAAACAACTGAACAAATATTCTGAAGTATCACAAGAGCAGCAGTGTGGTATTTTTTTCTTTCCTTAAAAAATGGATACAAAATATTTTTTTCCCAACGTCAGCGTTGGCTAAACTAGCCCCGTTTGCACCCCATTAAAAAGGGAGGACGGTGATAAAAGTGGAATAATCCACGTCAATATCAGCAGAGCATTTTAAAGATAGAACGCCCGCCTCAGGCTACGTCTGAAGCACATGCATCAATACTGGCGTCTAATCGTAAACATTTCACTGATGCACGGAGAACAGAAAAGCTTAGTCAATTAATACAGGAATCTGCTGCTCTGCTGTTTCACCGAGCGCCGCCATCTTCAGCTCACTCAATTGAATTATCGGAGGAATGGGACTGTTTGGACTCCATCCACTCTGGGGAACGACCAAGACCCTGATTGGATCTGACGGGACCCCAGAGAGAACCCGAGAATCTCCTACCCACAATCCACCTTCTCAATCAGACAATCAAAACAGCAGCAGACGGCTAATTTAGCCTAATTCTGCGGCAGAGACAGTGAATGTTCCAACACCTGAGTCGGAGAGACACCTCCACCAGATATTGAATTTTTTTTTTTCTTTCTCTCCCGAGTTGAACTCAGTAAATCTCACAGTGGAAACTCCTGGAGACATTGATTAAAGTCCCTATGGCTGGGAGAGCCTGGAGTGGACACTTTGAATGAGGAGCTCAGAAATCAATCTGTGATTAATCAGAGACGGAGAAGTCGACGGGTGTTTTTACACAGATACAGGTCCTAATCTAATCTAATCTGGATCAGAAATATGGATCGTCCCTGCTCAATCTCAACACGAGGTTGGGGGTCCCATGCCTTAACACTTGCTCTAAGGCAGGGGTCCACCTTAGATTGGATTAGATTAGTTTGAATTAAATGAGACTTGATTAGGTTAGGGTTAGATTAGATTAAAACTGAATGAGATTAGATTAGATTAAACTAAATGAGATTAGATTAGATTAAAACTGAATGAGATTGGATTAGATTAAACTGAATGAGATTAGATTAGATTAAACTGAATGAGATTAGATTAGATTACAATAGATTAGATTAGATAAGAACATATTAGATTAGAAGGAAATGAGATTAGATTAGATAAAAATGAATGAGATTGGATTAGATTAAACTGAATGAGATTAGATTAGATTAAACTGAATGAGATTGGATTAGATTACAATAGATTAGATTAGATAAGAACATATTAGATTAGAATAGATTAGTTTAAATAGGATTAGACTAGAGTAAACTGAACGTAATCAGATTACATTATATTACATTACATTAGATAAATAGAGAAACATCTTCATTGATCTCTCATCATGGACATTGGAGATTAGTTTAAATGGGATTAGACTAGAGTAAACTGAATGTAATCAGATTACATTACATTACATTAGATAAATATAGATACAGCTTCATTGATCTCTCATCATGGACATTGATGAGCTGCCAAATACAGTCTTTACTGCAGAGCAGAGCAGTAAAATAATACAATAAGACATTTGGAAAAATAGTATTCAATACAAAATATGAAACACTTGAAATTATTAAAGAAATGGAACCAAAATGAGCAGAATGTTGGCAAATGGCAACAAAGAATGACAAACTGACTGGCACTGACTGGAAGGAGTCAAACGATGACAGACAGAAATGTTCAGCCTGCTGAGCTGAGGGCCCTGCTGTCATCGTCTGTTCTTTCACAGAGCGCAGAGTCGGAGAAGTCTGGCTCTGGAGCCGCTCTGTGTTCTTACCACGGGAGAACAAACAAAAAAAAGAAACATTGGCTGGAGTGAAACTGTTGTTTGCTTTGGAGGAATCACGTAATTTGCTGTGCAGATGTCGGTTCAGAAGATCACGACGTCGCAAAAAAAAAAAAAAAAAACCCAGCAGGAACGGATGAATCAAACCGAGGGGCGGAGCTCATCCAAGGTCCAACAGCCTCGGATTTTAAAAAGTCACAGGAACAAATTTGTCGAGAATATGTTGGATTGACTTTCACACCCTGTGTCCCAGTCAACAGTCTTCATCTGATTTCACTGAAGGTAGGTCCAAGGTAAGGCCCTGGGACCAAACTTGGTACAAACACATGGTATGAATTTCAATCTCAACATAAGAAGAAGAAGAAGATGTTGGGGGTCCCTGGCTTTAAACTTGCTCTGAGGCAGGGGTCTGCCTTAGATTGGATTAGATTAGACTGAATGAGATTAGATTAGATTAATCCCAGTCAATAATACAGCTGTTAAAATGAAATGGATTTGCAACAGACTTCATTTGATTTCACTGAAGGTAGGTCCAAGGTAAGGCCCTGGGACCAAACTTGGTACAAACACATGGTATGAATTTTAATCTCGACATAAAATGTTGGGGGTCCCTGGCTTTAAACTTGCTCTGAGGCAGGGGTCTGCCTTAGATTGGATTAGATTAGACTGAATGAGATTAGATTAGATTAATCCCAGTCAATAATACAGCTGTTAAAATGAAATGGATTTGCAACATGAACGACTTCATTTGATTTCACTGAAGTGCTGTTCAAAGTAAGGCACTGGGACCAAACCTGGCACACTCTTGGTATTCATTTGGCCCTTGACCTTAACATCATTTGTCGGTCCACTGATGCTAGAGTACTTTAAAAAAGAAAAAGAAAAACATGATTTGTCCTTGTTGGTAAATATGCAAAAACAGAAAAAGAAAAAAGAAAAAAAAAGACATTTGTATGCACGGTGATTTAGAACTCCTCTGGTTTTAACAAACTGAATCTCCAACAGAACTTCACACACCTCGGCGCTCCACGCGGTGCACAGCCACATATTTATGAGCAGAAATCAGACTTATTTATGTTTCAAAGGCACGGGTTCAAACATGTTCATGTAGCGCCTCGTCCGCGCGGCACTGCCTCCTGCTGTTGCTGCCACCACGGTCATGTGTGTTCCTGCTGTTTGTGTTGCATTTTGCTGCTGCTTTTCTGCAGTTACTTTTCACTCCCAGCTCTTGCCTCATCTTTGTACATTTTTTTTTCACTTGCATCAGATCCTGTTCAATGAGTACATTACACATCAGATGTGTGAAAATATCATTGAACGGTTGCCATTTTCCCTTATACAGAGTTTAAAAAAAAAATCAAGGTATGTTTTTGGGGGGCGGTATAGAAGATGCTTTGGTCCATCTTTAACTAAACTGAGCAACGATGTATATTTAAACAGAAAGAATAAACCAGCAGCAGGGAGAAACGGGAGCAACCTTGAAAAATCACATCTATTAGCTGGTGCATTACTGGCCTCTAGTGGTGAATATTGATGAGTGTCATAGGTTGTGTAAACAGCAATAACAGTGAAATAGAGGCACTCAGGCGAACGGTGGTGTTAACTGTAGGTAAATTATACCACCCTCGACAGGGCCGGCGTTTATAAAGTGACTCGCCTGCACCGACTTTACTCTAATGAGGGTAATCACCTCCATTCAGCGCCACCCTCGCCTAAAAAAAATCACCAATTTCCCATCAGATAATTGCACATTATAGTCAGAGCAGTTATAAATTCACTGATTGCAGATGAAAACTAATCATCATCAGGTTCACACGCCGTCTCCTGCTGCAATCTGTCATCGTAAATCAAAGCAGAAATGTAAAAAAAAATGAAATGAAGATGTAGAAAAGTCAGTGGTGACGAATGTGAATAAATTCCGTGGACGACAATCCAGAGTGATTCTGCCACGGAGCCAAATTACAGCTGTCTCCCTGTCTCAGTCAAAAGGTCTGATAAACCAATCACACGATAGCAATCAACTTTGCACCTCACAGTCAACTTTAAGAGTCATGAACGTCGGCTGCGATCTAAAAAAAATAAAAAAATAAATGCAACATCATATCCAGCACACACACATCTCTGGATATTTAAAGTTTCATTTAGCTAAATACTAGCCTGTCTGATTTAGTAATTTCTGTATAAAACTCTCATGTGTTTGCTAGTTAGCACCACCTAGTGAAGCTTAACTCATATCCAAAGGTCTTTTTTTAGCTAATTACTATAGATTCAAGTGTTCGGCGTTTCATTTTTATGCTAGTTAGCTGCTAAATTCAAACTTAGACTTAAACTAAAGTTAATGCCAAAATTTAAACTTGTTAAATTTTTGTTTTGTTTTGCTTGACTTTAGTTTCTTTTTTGTATTTTTTCTCTACTTTAGCTATTTTAGCTTTGCTAACATTCTGCTGCCTCTTCAACCTCTTCGAAGCTAATATGCTACGGCTTGTATTGTTCCGACATTTATTTTCATTTTAGCTACAGTTTTGCTGTTTTTATTGTATTTATTCAACAGCCTTTAGTTCCATTTGTCTTAGTTCAAATATATAAGAAAAGTTTATGTTTATGTTGGATTTGTTATAAACATTTATCTATAATGTAAGGCAACGTTTAGCTTGAAATTGTAGTCGTAAATGATCAATGAAACTACAGCCACTATCCCATGATTCCTCACTGTTATGTAAAACATATTAGATTTTTTTTCAATAGTAGTTGGGCAGATACGACAGATACAGTACATAAACATGGACAGAGACAGAGACCAACAGGAAGTACACTGTACAATCAGCGTTAATGTAATTTTGTGAATGTTCTCATTTTTTCTGCACTGGAGCGTCGTCTCTCTCCACTGGGAAAACTTCAATTTCTTTGATGATCCTGTGAGCGATGACGTCGTTGTTCGCTGAAAGCATCCTTCGAGACATTAAATCAAACGGTCCTCCTGAAGGAAACCCAATAAAACCCTGATTAAAATGTGTTTTTAATCATCAGCAGTTAAAGCACTGAAGCCTGTGTTTTCTTTTAAACATCGTTTATGTGACATCTCCGAGGATGACGGAACAAAACCAGGTTTGGTTTGAGAGCATACACCCCGTCCACATCCAACAACAATCCGCCGGCCTCTTGCACGATGACCGCTCCGGCAGCGATGTCCCAGCAATGGATGCCGATCTCAAAAAAGGCCTCCACTGCTCCTGAGGCCACCAGACACATGTTGGTGGCTGCAGTTCCTGATCCACGGAGTCTGAGAAAGAAAATCCATTCAATAAGTTCCTCTAAACCAGTGTTTCCCAAAAAACTTTTTTTCTGGGGACCCAATACAGCTTCTGAGATGATATCATCACAGTGTCGTGGAACTCTCACCCGTGCACTGGGATGCAGAGGATCTTCTGCATGGTGGAGAAGATCTTGTTGACCTTCTCTGGACTCCTGTCAACTCCGTGTTCAGAAATGATGATGGATTTTTTGATCTCTGTCACGGTGATGGAGCAGCGACGTCAGCGAGACGAACAGACGGTAAGGCAACGACAGAGCACGTAAATAACAAAGGTGCAACTTCAGCAAATACTGCAAAAAACCTTTGTACCTTTGACATCCGACACCTGAATGAGCTCGTCGTTACAGAAAGCCCCTTGACCTTTTCTGGCTTTGTACATTTTATCTTCCAAACAGCTGTAGACGATTCCAAACTCCAGCTGAAAAGATGAAAACACGTCACAGCTGAGCAGGAATTCAGAGACAACAGAGGTACAAACTGTAAAACAGGATGTGATGTCACCAACCTCCTTGTTGACGGCAAAGGCAATCGACACAGCCACAAATGGGAATCTGTGGGGAACGTAAATATTGACGATTAATATATAATTTATAATGAATAAATATTCATATGAAATCATTTGTGATTGAGTCAGACTCTTCAAAACTGGTTCCAAGTTAACAATCTCCTGATTGGATACATTGAAACCCACCAATCAGAAACAACAAACCTGATACTATGTGTAAAATACCAGTGATGCCTTAAATGTCCTAGGAAAAACATTGGTCACAGCTAAGCTGAGAAGGTGCGAACAAAGTCTCAATCAAGTCTCAATTTTTCTGAGAACTTTTTGACGTACCCTGGTGAGTAGACAAAACTCTCACTGCCTCTGTGGACCGCCGAGGGGTTGTGAACCTCTTGTTGAAGACCTGAGCTCTTCCTTAACTGACCAGTGAGTCATAAGAATGTTAAGTATCCTCTCTTAAATGAACAGGATCTTCTATCTGAGCTCAGTTAACGTTAACCCCAGAGTGAACCTACAGTTACTGATGAACCGAGTTAATGACGGGGTCCACATATTGATCACTGATTCTATCAACGCCCGAGGTTGGTCTAACCACCGAGAAGACGGCGATCGATGGAAACAACGGATGATACGGAAACAAAAGTGACCACCTACCCGTGAACAAAGTTGGTGGTGCCGTCCACCGGGTCGATGATCCACGTAGGTTTGTCGGTAAGAATACACGCCTCGCCTTTAGCGACCGACTCTTCGCCGATGAAACTGTGGAAAAGAGAAAAAGGTGGAAACAACTTTCTAAAAAAAAATGACAGGATGCAGATTTTTCAGGTTGACGGTCAAAGGTCGGACCAGTGTGTGCCTTCTCCGAACTCCTGTTTCAGTGAACCGATGATGATCTTCTCCACACGTTCATCAGTCTTGGTCACCAGGTCCACGGTACAGCTTTTGGTCATGACTCTGATCTCACTCTCTCCAGCTTTTCTTATTTCCTACACAGGAGAAAGGGTTTCATTGATGGAGTCAAACAACAGTGTTAGCTTTTTTTCATCAGCAAGAAGAACTCCATGTTCTCCTGGAGTACTTGGGTTTCTTCAAAGTCCAGTTAACCAGCCGTACAAACCTCTCCAGCCTTTCTGGCCACTTTTTCAGCGAAGTCGTACTCCCTCTGCCACTGATCGGCCATTTTTGGTAATTTTTCTCACGTCTGTCAGGAGAGCTGCAGAGAGAAAGAGGAATGGTTTTTTGGGTTTTTTTTTTTCTTGGTAAAGATTTTACAACGAATCAATAGAAAAAGCAAAGAAAAGTGACATGTTATTTATCAGAGGTTGAAGGAGGACCACGAACATCAGGAGAGGATGTGAACACACGTGTTACGACACAGTGCTGCTGCTGCTGAGACACAGCCACAACTTCACAGCCTTTGGCTGCAGTTATTAAGAAACAGTGGTTGTTACTTAAGGTGGACCTGGAGAGTTTGTATTTAACTTTACAGTGATGTCAAAATTAAAACACATTTTAAGGCTGACTTTCAGTTTTCTTCCAATGAAATGTTAGATTTATTTTAGCAATTTTTTTTTTTTTGCCAGCATTACTAGCATAATTTTGAAGAAACCGATTACTAGAACTGTAATCTTTAGTCCACCTTTAATGTTTTACGGCTCTGTAAACTAAGGAAACCTTAAATTAATTTGCTACAAAACATCAATTTATTCCAAAACTGACTATAAATACATTGATTTTAGAAGCATCAGGAAAACAGGAGATAAAATGAACATTCAATTACATGCAAAAACCTTGAAAACAAACAGTAAAAAAATGAGCTAAAAATAAATCTACCTGATGAAGTGCAGTGATGGTGTCCAATGAGGCTCCTCGATGCTTTTGAAACGTAAAACTTTGTGTTGCTTTTATGCAGTGCAAAAAAAAGAATCATGACGCAGTGGGAAAACTACTAGCCCCGCCTCCGCGTTTCCTCATAGCAACCTGACGGTACAAAAAAAAAACATTTAGCACCGGCTTGAAATGACTCGCTGCATCGAACATACACCGACTGTAAAGTTGAATGGAAATTTTTTTTGGACTCATCCTGTTAATTCCTGTTCAGTGACTTGGATGAAGAGGAGTTTTTAGGGAGACACGCCCCACGGTTTTACACTCATCTTGAGAACGGGGTGTCAGTCAGACCTGTCAGTTTGATTTGGCAACGACTAACGAGGCCTAATACGTCCTCCTCTTTTGTTTCCTCTTTCATGTAAAAGTACTTGCAAAGGTCTCTGGGTAAGTCGAGCGGTGACTTTCACCTGCCCAGTCTGTCCAGCAGGTGAATAAACCCTGACATTAAGTTCTTAAAGATTAGTCCACTGATTACTGCGCACATGGACGGCGACGTCTAGAGACCACATTCCACCAACAATTTGTTGTTATGACAGGTGACAACACGCAGTTGTATTCACACACAGTAAACTGAGGTTACTGCAGTACTAACACCTCGACGGAGAGGAAGTGAACACATGATAATATTTTGATTGTGATGAAGAAAGCTGCCAAAATCACCACCAAACATGCTGACACTGACAGGATTTACACCAAGGTGGTTTGACTTGGTTCGTTGGATTTTTTTTTTTTTTTTTAAAGGGGAAGGCCC